AGTTCAATCTGCGTCATATCGAAAGAGCCAACCCAGGTGTTAGTTATAGTCTAAACTTGAGTCATGGGCGGCACGGTGGCAGAGTGGATAGCACTCTCGCCTCTCAGCAAGAAGGTCCTGGGTTCGAATCCCGGTCAGAACAGGGCCTTTCTGGGTGGAATTTGCATGTTCTCCCCGTGTCTGCGTAGGTTTCCTCCGGGTACTCCGGTTTCCCCTAACACTAAAAACATGCACAATAGTTCTGGCATGCGCCTCCTGTACTGGCGACCCCGCTCCCATCTCTGTGTGTGTGAGAGGACAAATGCCCTAAAATAACAATTGTAAACCGCTTTGTGACTCTGGTCTGTGAAAGGCGGTATATAAATAAAGATTACTTACTTACCTACAAAGGGCCAGATCACTTGAATATTTCGTCCTGCGTTGGTCCATTTTGTGAAGGTAATTCGTCAGAAAGAGAAGGGCCAAATGGGACTGGTGGAAACAAGCCTTTAGGGACCCCAGCTTTAGGACCCTGAGGACAACTTGGCAGCCACATCTTTGTCAGTAAGGCAGCTATGGCTTCAGTTCTCATTATCACGAAGTTGACTAAAACACTTGGCCAATCTAGGTATCAGCTCAGCGATTGATAATACAGTCTTCAATTAACATCACTACTACACTATACAGAACTTTTGAATGTGTGTAAAACACACCATTATGATTTATACCACAAAGACGGCCGAATAAAACGCCTTCATTATCCTTACAGCGTGGCGTTTAAAGTTGGACTTGATAAATTGGGCTCTGACAGGTGCAGTAAAGTCGCCCTGCTCGTCTTGTGCAGCCTCTTGCAGTCGCCACCGCCGCATTTTCTGCCCATTAATAACAAGGCAACACACAGCCACGCTCATTACCTGTGCTGTCTGAGGCGGAACAGGCAGGAGGATGTCTGTCATCTTTACTGTGTGCCAAACAAAGCACTCAGGCCACTGATATGCAGCTAAAGGACTACTTCAAACAGTCTGCGCCACTAGAAAGGAATGTCGTCACCTTTATAAATAAAATTAAAAAATGGCTTGAATCAGAATTTTATTGTAAGTAACAGGAAGTTCTATACTAGGAATACACACAACAGACATTTAACAGTATATAGATGGACAATGCTAAATGTCCAAAGAGGGAAGTGCTCATAGACAAAGTTCTGCTAAAACTCGTTCTGGCTCCTATTGTGGCAAACTACTCAAGCTCATTAATTGTTTGAATTGTTTAAGATTGAAAACAATAGTATAGTAAACATTTTTGAAAAATCACTTCATTTGTTGATATAATTGTCAATTATTCTGTCTCGAGCCTCATTCCTACTGCGCAAAAACACTCATCATTTAATCTGCCTTTTTCAGCGTTTGCATCATCCCGACCACTTCTTAAAAGTGTTTTTTTGTATTTTATTCAGTAAAATTCTGTTGTACATGTGTTGAAATAATCGATCTAGAAAAAAAATCTTGAAAATGTAAAATAATCTAGCTTCATAAAAAGCGTTTTCTAATAATGAGTCTGTGTGAATTGGTTTAAGTTCCTAAAACTAGATAATTGCACAAAAATCCATTTTGCACCTTCGCTCAGGAGTTGAGGGGGCGTTTTTAGTTTGTCAATGGAAAGAAATACAAAATGGTTAAAGCCTCTCTTTAAAAGTAAAAGTAAAATTTGGTTGGAATTGTTGTTTCTGCTGTTGTTTTACTGCTGTGAGTCAGCCATGATATAACTCGGGACGTAAATACAACTGTTTAAATCAAGTCAATTAAAACATGAACTATTTTGATTTCACTTCTGAAACGTGTTTTGCTTGTATCCTGCCGTGTTTGAGAACGCTTACACAAATAAAACGTGTAAATTATGTGTCAAATGTAAGAGAGCACAGGTGCATTAGTTTTGTGAAGGCAGAGGGGAGCGTTGTCCCAAGTGTGGGGACACAGCGCCCCCTGGTGTCAGTGTGAGGCTCATCACTGCTGCGCTCGGTAAAGACGGTCAATGAATGCCATCTAGTGTTTCTCAAAAACATGTGCAAAAGGCTCAATAAAAGTGCGTTTTATAAAATATGAATTAAAGGATGACAACTGAGATGGAGGTTCTGAGTTCTGTCCTACAGTATATGTTATAATGTATGTACTTTACTTTTCAAATCATTTTAAATCCATCTTAATAGTTTTACTCACAAAACAGTTTATTATACACATATTTATCCTCTGACACATCTTTGGATCAGCTTTTTCAGAAATAATAAAAAAAAAAGGACAGCCCACAAATATTAGTGCTGTTTCTAATATTATGTGCTTGTTATTATTGCATTTCCTGCGTTCCAACTTCTTGATTCTCTGATATGCTTTTGGTGAATCAATAGCTTTGTTAGGTTTAACTCTGTCTAACGACCTGAAATGGGACAAAAACACTAACTGGGTTGTTAAGAAAGCTTGTCCGCGGCTCTTCTCTTTACAGAAACTTAGGGAATTTTCCAATAACTCTAAGATTCTGCTTAGAGTTGTTGGTTCTGTGACTTTGTGGTTCGGAAACATCACAGACTATATAAGGCTGTGAGCTGCCTGTTCTGGAGGTTCTTTATGAATCCAGACTCCATGTTCCAGCTTCTTCCCTCGGGCAGAAGATATCGGTCGCTGAGATGCAAGACATCTCGCTATGCTAACAGCTTCTTTCCACAAGCTGTTAGGTGTCTAAACAGAGTCCTTTAATTGTTGCTTTTACCCCTTGTATCGTTTTTTTTGTCAATCGGTGCCACAGTGTCAGCTTTATGTGTGTGTTTTTATTTATGTTCAGTGTATGTGTATGTATGTTTTATATTGCATTGTATTGTGCTCTTGATTCTGTTGGTGCACACAGAGTACCTTTTTTGCAAATGTATTCCAATGTGGTTGTTAAGCTGCACATGGCAAATAAAATGAATCTGAATCTGAATCTAAAGTCCTTCGAGGCGAATGGTGTTGTGATTTAGGGCTATATGACATTGAATTTAATAGAAATTTAATTGAAATGATTTGAATTGTTTCATTATTTTGTTATTTTTATAACATAATGTAATGTTTAGAAGACTAGCCCTATTGACAAATCCTATGCATTATTTATAATATATATATATATATATAAAAAAAAAAAAAATTGTCCACTCACCTTTGGCCCTCCGCGGGCGGTTATCCCTCTCTAAGCTCGGGTCCTCTACCAGAGGCCTGGGAGCTTGAGGGTTCTGCGCAGTATATATATATATATATATATATATATATATATATATATATATATATATATATATATATATATAAGGTGAGTGGACAATTTTTTTTTAATAAAAAAAAATAAAAAAATTCTCACCTTTCGCCCTCCGCGGGCGGTTATCCCTCTCTAAACTCGGGTCCTCTACCAGAGGCCTGGGAGCTTGAGGGTTCTGCGCAGTATCTTTGCTGTTCCTAGCACTGCACATTTCTGGACCGAGATGTCTGAGGTTGTTCCGGGGATCCGCTGTAACCACTCTTCTAGCTTCGGGGTTACTGCCCCGAGTGCACCGATCACCACGGGCACTACTGTCACCTTTACCCTCCAGGCCCTCTCCAGCTCCTCTCTGAGACCTTGGTATTTCTCAAGCTTTTCATGTTCCTTTTTCCGGATGTTACCATCGCTTGGAATTGCCACGTCCACCACCACGGCTGTCCTCTGCCCTTTGTCTACCACCACGATGTCAGGTTGGTTCGCCATTACCATTCGGTCGGTCTGTATCTGGAAGTCCCACAGGATCTTCGCACGCTCATTCTCCACCACCTTTGGAGGTGTTTCCCACTTAGACCTTGGGGTTTCCAGCCCATACTCTCCACAGATGTTTCTGTACACTATGCCAGCCACTTGGTTATGGCGTTCCATGTAGGCCTTCCCTGCCAGCATCTTGCACCCTGCAGTTATGTGTTGGATCGTCGCAGGTGCCTCTTTGCACAACCGACACCTTGGGTCTTGTCTGGTGTGGTATATCTGGGCCTCTATCGCTCTGGTGCTCAGTGCCTGTTCCTGTGCAGCCATGATGAGTGCCTCTGTGCTGTCCTGTAGGCCAGCCCTTTCTAGCCATTGGTAGGATTTCTTTTAACTTCAACTTTAACCCTTACGCAAACACTAATGCACTAGGACTGTGAAAAACCTGCACTTCTATTGCCACTCTTTCTTTACTTTTTTATTGTACATAAAATATCCTGAACAGACAATATTTTTAACCTTTAACATGTTTGCACACTTCTGTCTTTTGCACAATCTGAGTGACTATCCATGCCAAATGTGACATGTAAACGTCTCCAGTATGAGATCAATAAAGTCTATCTTATCTTATCAGGATTATAGTCACGGGTCTGGTTCCCTTGTCGTGCAGGGGCCAGTCACACAACCTACATGAATCAGAAATACAAGAGAATCTACACCCGTAAAACTGTAATCACAGTCAAACTCACTCGTTTATACAAATGACAGTCCAAAAGAATTTTTGTTACATCTATATTCATATTTTCACACACGCTAGTCCTGGCTCAGTCTTACCATACCATTGTACTCATTTCATTTCTGACTTTGGAGTTTAGGATGGCTAAGGCCAGGCTACGTTGGTCCACTCACATAAACTAAAATTAAAATAAAAAATGAAAAAATGCATTAGCTTGAGTTTTAGATTGTTATTACAAAAACATACAGTAACATTAAGCCTTAAAAAAAAACGTGATTTATATGTATGTTGCAGGTCAATAGTTACTGTGTTTTTACCACTGTTTTAAAAATATATATATAATAAAGTCTTGGTGGCAGGTTTCTTTAATACTAAATACCTTTCCTCTTGCCTAATATTAAAATCTTGATATTATATGTGTCAATGTCGGTAAAATATTACGTTTACGATCAGTGCATAATTTTTTTCCACCGCTCAAAGATGTAATGACATATCTCCACCACAGAGTGTCGCCATTGTCTAATAGATTACTAATAGAACGTGCTCATTTTGTCCCCAGTTTGTGTGACTGCTTGTATGTTCTGAGGGAGGGACAGGAGGAGTGAGGAGGAGTGATGAGGAGTGAAGAGGAGTGAGGAAGAGTGATGAGGAGTGAGGGGGAGACAGGAGGAGTGATGAGGAGTGAGGGAGAGTGAGGAGGAATGAGGGAGAGTGAGGGGGAGACAGGAGGAGTGAGGGAGAGTGAGGGGGAGTGATAAGGAGGAGTGAGAGGAAGAGTGAGGAGCAGTGAGGAGGAGTGAGAGGGAGACAGGGGGAGTGAGGGGAAGTATGGAGATTTTGTAGACTGTCTCTAACACATAATCAAAAATAATAAAATAAATTAGGTTAATAAAATCGTTATATAAATGCAATAATAAATGTGGATCAAAAGTAAAAGACAGTACAGTCCAATGATTATTATTTCTTCTTGTTGTAATAAAATGTTCTTATTGATTGCAGACGCTTCCCTCAGATTGTCTTCTCTCTCAAATCCGTCTGATCCACAAGTGCTTCCTGTTTCCACGGCAACGGACAAAACGATGTGTGGAAAAACTTAACAGAGAAAAAGTCTTGTCTCTCTTCTCTCCACATCCAAAACATGGGAGTTATGGACCAGCTGCCCGTCAAAGGACTTTAGAAGAAGAGGGCGGCAACAATCTGAAAATAATCTCTTCACTTATTCACAAGAAAGTTATTTTGATCAGCCATCTTGGATTTCTTATTTCGTCTTTGCTTCCTGTCTTTGGGGCTAAGTATCTAGCATTAGCTCTTGAAAATAACTTTTTGAATTTTGTATATGTGTTGCCACCTGCATATGGAGCCAGATCCTGACAGTTCTCTGAAGCTAAGCAGGGCAGGTCCTGGCTAGTAATGTGATGGGAGACCTCTGGGAAACAACAGATTCAACTACAAACTGTACAATCGTTGTGTATTTTTAGCCATTATAAACCTTGTTTAATGAAACAACTCCTGTGTTTTGTTGTTGTTAAAAAATATGCATTTATATAATAGGTTGAGATATAGTATTATTAGTACGGGTCACAGTAGCAGAGGTGGAGTAGCCTCTTGGTGGAGCAGGACGGGTCACAGTAGCAGAGGTGGAGTAGCCTCTTGGTGGAGCAGGACGGGTCACAGTAGCAGAGGTGGAGTACACTGCAAAAAATGATAAAAAAGATCTGTCAAAAAATCCTCAAATTTGGCAAAATGAATCTTAATTTGAGCACATATCGACTTGCTTAAAACAAGATTTGCCAATAGGACAAGGAAAATTATCTGAATTTAAAAAGATACAAGAAATGTCTCCATTGGAATGAGAAAATAAAGCAACAGTTCTTGAAATAGGACAAGAATGGCTAAAAATTAAGATAAAAAACCCACTCAATTCAAGCAATTATTACCTCATACTCCATCATTTTTTGCAGTGTAGCCTCTTGGTGGAGCAGGACGGGTCACAGTAGCAGAGGTGGAGTAGCCTCTTGGTGGAGCTAATTGCTTCATTAGCATTTTTCAAGAAGTCAGGATTCCTCCTGTAGATTTTCACCTGATAGTAAGTAAGTAAGTAAGTAGTAAGTTTTTATTTATATACCGCCTTTTCACTGCAGATCTGAGTCTCAAAGCGGTTTACAATTGTTAATTTTGGGCATTTGTCTCTCACTCCACACAGAGATAGGAGTGGGGCCAGTACAGGAGGCATATTTTTAGTGGTAGGGGAAACCGGAGTACCCGGAGGAAACCTACGCAGACACGGGGAGAACATGCAAACTCCACTCAGAAAGGCCCTGGTCCGACCGGGATTCGAACCCAGGACCTTCTTGCTGAGAGGCGAGAGTGCTATCCACTCAGCCACCGTGCCGCCCTGATCCGCTTGGGTCTGGACCAGTGCAAAACCATGAACACTGTACAGCAGCTACGTCTCAGGTAGAAAAAAAGCAATAAAAAAGTAGTGTATATTTCTGACCATGGGACACTGTAATAGTATGCATAGCCAGTTATTGTTTAACAACATTATATATAAAACTGCCTTTCCCTTTGGCATAGCTACAATCAGTAAGATTTGCAGGAGACGAATAGTTAAACCAATGACGAGGGGACTCAGAATTTGACTTAATCTCGGCCAATCAGGAAGCTGCAGATGTGAGCATGGGTCAAACCAGTTCTTGTCTTCAAAAAAGTCTCTCTCTCTCTGTCACATTATGAAAAGTAACTAACTTTCATTATTATTAAAAACACCCATAATTGACAATTAGGGGAAACTAATTATAAATGAATCCTGATTTTAGTGTACATTAGTTCTGGTTCATCTAATTCTACTTTGATTCACAGATTTAACAAAAAATACTCTTTCAAAGCAAAATCCTGAATATATTCCCATGTTTTATTCATGGCCCACATTTGCAGAGCCCCATGAGAACACAGAAGAAATACAAGGCAGCGCAGTATAAATTATAAATGATATCTTATATAACCAGCTGAGAAGAAGAAACAATAGAAACTGTACATGGCATTATTTAAAATGTTTTTTTTTTTTCTTTAACACAAATAAAACCAAGGAGAGGCTGCATCACAACAGTGGGATTATTTCAGTGCCTTTTTCAGATCGGTTGCATCACTGACTCTCTCTCTCTCTCTGGGGATTTTGTGATGTCTGATCTAGCAGTGATCCGAAAGGGACAGCACACAAAAAGCAGAGACGGATTTAGTTCAAATGAAACGAGTAATTAAAGAATGAAAACAACCTCTGCTCTGCACTGAAAATGAAAACAGCAATTGTGAATATGTCTGTTTATTATGTAACCACTGATACTAAGTTTTTTCACAGAGCTATATTGGAATTTCTGTGAACAGCAAATGTGAGGATTTGTCCAAAAATGCAAATTATCATTTTTTCATGGGACGTAACTGAACCGTTGTTGCTTTTTTGGACTCTCAAAGATGCTTCACATGTCATTTATTAATTTCTTCCATGCACAGTGGTGATAAACTACTCTTGTAGCTGCAGCTGCCCTGGGGCACACTGACAGGAGCGAGGCTACCAGTTCATACTCACGCCAGTGTTTCCCAACCTTTTTGTAGTCGTGGCACATTTTTTGGGTTGACAACACTCACATGGCACACCACCAGCTGAAACTGATACAAACATGAAACTTCAAAGTCATTCTAATCAAAACACATACATATGGAAAATTAAACAAGCGCAAATAATCTTTCTAATTTTCTCACATTCATTTCTTTTCACATTATTTTGACCAAGTATGTGATATTGGAATATTTCTCAAGGCACACCAAACAACATCTCAAGGCACACTAATGTACCACGGCACACTGGTTGAAAAACACTGTATGAAAGGATCTGGCTTTCACATGCAGGTATGGCCACAATTACAGCTCAACAAGTAGTCACCAACAGATATTGAATCCCATATTTAAAGAACAGTTTTTGTTTAATTTTTTTTTGTATTCGTCTTATTCATTTATTTATTCATTGAGAGAATTGACTCTCTCAGGCACCTGCCCCACGATAACAAAAAAGGCTCTCTGGTGCTCATCCCATAATTGCGTTCATATTTATCTTGCAGCTTAAAGTCGGTTCAAAAGTCAGCAATTATACGTTTCCGGAGACGGATGCAGACAATATTTCTCTCATGAGCATTTAGCAAAACACTAAGATGGCGGAGGAGTTTCTAGAGCGTAACTGACTTCTAAATGCCACTGCTTAAATGCCATTTCATTATTTCACATTTCCATTCTCATAACTAAAGGTTGGGTTCGTCTGCATTTGAATGTTTAAAAACATACACCATAAAACAGAGAAGGGTCTAACAATGTTTTCCAACGGGTCACAAATGGAACAAACTCAAAAAAGAAAATATTATAAACAAAATCAAGGCATTTGTAGCACTGTATGCTCACTTTTCTAAAACATGCTGACCATTTGTTTATAAAGTCTGTCAGTGTGCTATAGTAATAATCAATATTTGCTGTTTAACCTTTTATGGATATTTTTATTAACCTGAAAAATCTCCTCAAGGCACATTAATACTGGTATATTGGCGGTCCTTATGAGCTTCCTCCGCAGAGTGGCTGGGCGCTCCCTTAGAGATAGGGTGAGGAGCTCGGTCACACTGGGAGGAGCTTGGAGTAGAGCCGCTGCTTCTCCACGTCCAGAAGAACCAGTTGAGGTGGCTCGGGCCTCTGTTCCGGATGTTTCTTAGCCTGGATGAGCTGGAGGATGTGTGTGTGAATAGGGAAGTCTGGGCATCTCTGCTTAGACTGCGACCCGGCAACGGTAAAGCGTCTTTGTCATAAAAGGTTCAATATTTAAGTGATGATGAGTGAAATTGTGCAAATATGATTGTGATTCAAGCTGGGGTACCCAACTTTCAAACCACAAGAAACACGTATAATCCATTCTGTAAATATAGCTCCTGGCTCAAACAATTCGGTTCTCTCACTAGCATATACATCTTTAGATCAGCTTTTTTCTGTCAGAAACGTGAAAAAGCATGGACCACTCTAACTCAGCCAATCAGCTCTCAGCCCATCGCACCAGATAGTGACTCACATGGCTCGGTTTACTTTTAAATGTGCTGGGACACGGCTGCAAGTCCTAAGTAGCTCTGAAACAATTGTTGTTTTGGGCTTTACAATTTTATTTGTCTTGCTTTTTTCTGCCTGATTGTTGCTGCAGAACAGTGTTCATGGTTTTACACTGGTCCAGACCGGAGCGGAGAGGATTCATGGTCTGAACCAAGCGGATCAGGTGAAAATCCACTGGAGGAATGCAAACTTTTTGAAAAGTGCTAATGAAGCATTTAGCATTTTACTTTGGACTAGAGCAGAGAAAATGATCCGAATCAAGCGGGTACTCCGCCTTTTGATATGTCCTGCTCCACCCTGAGGCTACTCCACCTCTGCTGCTTTGACCTGAAGGGCTGTTGCTGATATTTACTATTGTTAGCTTTTTTAGAATGATCAATTCTATTTTTTATTTTTGCTGCTATCTGAATTTCTCAGACGGGGTTTAATAAAGTATCTATCGATCTATCAATACAATACAACAAATCACAATCACAGATCAGAGAATCAACAGTTAAAACACATAAAGAATATAGAACACATGTTGAAAAATGTCATACATGTTGTAGAATGTTAAAGTGTCCTGCATCATCACCACAGTCCTTCTAGTTGGACAGTCCTGCATCATCACCACAGTCCTTCTAGTTGGACACTAATTGCCCAACAGACCCTCCTGCATCGGCAAGGAAAAACTCATAAGAAAACCCAGTGGGAAAAAGTGAGAAACCTTGGGGAGACCCATAGTTTGAGAAAGGAATCTATCTTTCTTTCTTTACAAACGCTGACATGTTTTCAATGAACTAAAAGACAGCACAAAGCAGCTTGGTTTGTTCATATTGTGACATGTCATGATGAGTTAGTTCATATTTGCAGCTTTAAAAGGCCACTCCACAACTTGCTCATAACGATGTCATTGTGCAAAATGCTATTTACAGTCAATCTGTTCATTACGCTCTCATTTTTGATCATCACGTGTAGGTTTTTATTGAATTAACCACCAACACGTTCTGTCGCATCTGGAGATAAAGCCACGCATCCATAATGAGATTGGACTCATACAGATTTTGCTCCGCTGCTCAGATCCAGGACCCCTCCCCCTCCCTCACCTCCCTCTCTCCCCCTCTCTCTCCTGTTCCAGTCCGCCTCTCCCGCGCGCTCTCCCGTCTCCGGGTAAAGATGGCGTCAGCACCGCGGACAGCTCCCGCCAGTCTCTCGCTCCTCAGCTTCAGCGCGCCTCCACGGACCATGTGAGCCAAGAGACAGACCCCAAAACCGGCACCACCAAACCAAGACGGCGCGCGTGCGTGTGTGAGCGTCCGTGCGCGTTCCCCAAACCGGCCTATTACTACCCCCCCTCCTCCTCATATACCTCTCCATCGTCTCCCACCGTAGAATGGAGGAGCCTCGTCCCGGGCAGAGTTAAGAGGCTGGTGGTTCTACGCCTTTTTTCTTTTTTTTTTGTTTTACGCGCAAGCATGTCTGGGCTCGTCTCGGTGGTCCTGTGCTCGGCCCTGGTCAGTTGCGGATTGGCCCTAGGCTCGCATTTCAGTCCAGGTAAGAGCGCAGCATCGCTATCTGCTTCACTGGCCCCGACACCCCACACAAAAGGCACCTCTGTATAGGACATGTAGGCCAAGTCAATCATTGCATAAGCGCTATCTATATCAAGAGGCGACCTGTTCATTATTCTATGTAATTGACTGATCTATGGGTCCTATACATTAGACACGGCTGGGCTCGTGCTCACGGTAGAGGAGCTTGAAGTAGAACAAGAACATTCTTTTACAAATTGGTTTGATATTTGGTTGATTCTTTATATTTGTAGTATACCAGATATTTTTTCAAGGAGCGTCAGAAGGCATTTGAAAACACCATTATTCAGACTCTGCATTGAGAACACACTGCCATCCATGCATCTGCTTGGACTGTATATAATGTGTGGAATTTTCTTTTTTTTTTACATTCATATTCTTTTAAAAATATGGATGAATTGTATTTAAAATAGGAATTAAAATGACCAATTATCTAAAATGGGTGGCAACACCAGTCCCCAACGAGTATAGCCTCTAATGTAATCTACAAAGACAGAGCTTAAATCAATACACATTTGCAAAGTAGACTAGAAGATCAATTTTGCATCCAAATATTGTTGCATATAAGTCATTGAATAATTGTTTGCGTCTGTGTGTTGGCTTTAGTGTTTGAACTCATAACTAAAATGCAACAACAGTATGTATAATTTGTATACCTATTTCCATTGTTTCACATTAGTTTATATGATTTTTACAATACCTGATAGCACATCAATGATTGTTGAATTCTGACTAAAATGGCTGAAGAAAATTATATAATCTGCCTTTTTTTCGATCTTATCAAACAATGTTCACGTGATCTGTAGGGTGCTGGTTGTTTCCAGGTAAAGCGTCTTTGGTCTTGGCTCAAAATGAGACGTTATGAAAGGAAAGGCTTCAGTGTTGAGTATTTAATTTAACACGTTCTGCTTCTGGTCTGATGTTTCCATAGCAACCGGAGGAGTCAAGTGTGTTGCGTTTTACAAATGAGCGTGAGGAATGGACATTGTTGTTATATATCAATGGAAAGTCAAAATATAGTGTTGGTATTGGTGCGCTATGCTACTGTTGTATGCCGGATTGTCTGCCTTGGTTATGCTAATTCTATGGCTGGAATCTTTCACTACGTTTTTTTGGTCCTCGAGAGGCATTTTGTGTGTGAAATAGTGTTGCTTGTAAAAAACTCAAAACATCCAAGAATACAAAAATACCCCTCAACAATAGAACTATGTAGTAAAATGCTAATGTGCAATAGTTAGAGGAACCTTGTTGTAGAATTTAGCAATAGTTTAAGTATAAGTAATCATCATCTATCTAGTGCATTTCACAGAGCAAGGTCACACACACACATATTTAGTGTTTTACAATTTTATGTCCAAGCCTCTATCCATCACAATCCATTCACTCATTACATTCAGACTTATTGGGAAACCGGAGCACCTGGAGGAAACCTATGCAGACACAGGGACAAGATGGAAAGCTAAAGTCCACACCGAAATAGTGGAATCGAGTCTTCTTGCCATGAAGCTAAGGGCTAGTAGGCTGACGAAAAGGGTGAGTTATGGTGGAGTTTACTGGTTGCCAAATCATAATAAACAATATATCAATAGTAAAGACAAAACAGAAAAAAACTCAAAAAGCAAAACCAATAGATGATGACTATTCCTATAATCATATACGTCTATAGTATGACGTCACATATTCAAGAAAAGAAAAAAATACACAGTCTTCCAACAGCCTCTTATAATTTCTTATTTTTATGTCAGTCAATGTGATTGCCTCAATATGCCAAGTATTCATTACATTCAGACCTATCGTACATCTCTATAGTGGTAACTGGAGCACCTGGAGGAAACCTATGCTGACACAAGGACAACATGCAAACTCCACATAGAAATAGCGGAATTGAACCTTCTTGCCGTGACGCTAACCACTGCCCCACAGTCCTCAGCCACCGTGTTACTGATGGGACTAATGACATCTTCTTCAGTCTTATGGTGCTGCTGCCTCCTGCTGCCTCCTGCTGCCTCCTGCTGCCTCCTGCTGCGTCCTGCTGCCTCCTCCCTGATGGCAGCAGCAGTAAACACTCACTGTGGAGAGATTGTAGCAGCACTGATCATGTTTGTGGCTTGTCTCATCATGGCCTCTTCATAAATTGCCGGATGGATTTGTAATGCCTCACAGTCCAATTATCCTCCTGTCAGTTTCTCAATGTGGGTGAGCTTGTTTCATTAGTTTAGATGTTAAAATCCCTAAACCAGACAGACGGTCAGTCCATACAGTCAGTCCATACAGTCAGTCCATACAGTGAGTCGATACAGCCAGTCCGTACAGTCAGTCCATACAGTCAGTCCATACAGCCAGTCCCTACAGTCAGTCCATACAGTCAGCCCATACAGTCAGTCCGTACAGTCAGTCCGTACAGTCAGTCCGTACAGTCAGTCCATACAGTCAGTCCATACAGTCAGTCCATGCAGTCAGTCCATACAGTCAGTCCATACAGAGTCCATACAGTCAGTCCATACAGCCAGTCCATACAGTCAGTCCATACAGTCAGTCCATACAGTTAGTCCATACAGTCAGTCCATACAGTTAGTCCATACAGTCAGTCCATACAGTTAGTCCATACAGTCAGTCCATACAGTTAGTCCATATAGAGTCCATACAGTCAGTCCATACAGTTAGTCCATACAGTCAGTCCATACAGTCAGTCCATACAGAGTCCATACAGTCAGTCCATACAGTTAGTCCATACAGCCAGTCCGTACAGTCAGTCCGTACAGTTAGTCCATACAGTCAGTCCATACAGTCAGTCCATACAGTCAGTCCATACAGTCAGTCCGTACAGTCAGTCCATACAGTCAGTCCGTACAGTCAGTCCGTACAGTCAGTCCATACAGTCAGTCCATACAGTCAGTCCATACAGTCAGTCCATACAGTCAGTCCATACAGTCAGTCCATACAGTCAGTCCATACAGTCAGTCCATACAGTCAGTCCGTACAGTCAGTCCATACAGTCAGTCCATACAGTCAGTCCATACAGTCAGTCCATACAGTCAGTCCATACAGTCAGTCCATACAGTCAGTCCATACAGTCAGTCCATACAGTCAGTCCATACAGTTAGTCCATACAGTCAGTCCATACAGTCAGTCCATACAGTCAGTCCATACAGTCAGTCCATACAGTCAGTCCATACAGTCAGTCCATACAGTTAGTCCATACGGGATGGGGCTCTCCTGTGTGGCTCAGTAAAATACTAGCAGGACTTTAGCATCTGCTCCATACCTTCTCTGTCTGCTGAGAAACTAAAGCCTATGAGAGGCATATCAAACCCAGGATCGTGAGCCAAATCTGGCCCAAAAGACCGTTTTCAGTGGCCCCTGAAATTATTTTGTAATATCTTTATTGCAGCATTGATGGTAAGGGTATATTGTGCTTCATTTGACCATATAATTGTATAGAAGAAGTAATAGCTACTACTGATAGTTCTATACAGATATTTGGCCCAGCTGTGGTTGAAAATAATATCCAAGTAATTAAGACAAAAAACAAAACTATGTAAATAATAAGATAATATATATAAGATAATAAATATGCCTCTATAAGCTTTAATGTTTTTAAATTTACTAATTTTGTCCCTGACCAAAATGAGTTTGACACCTCCAGCCAATGCTTTCCCATGGACAGCACATGGAGTCATTATGAGCGCTGTTTAGAATACCACATTGTAGGACATTCAGCAGGACTATCCGGTCTCAACTTGGAATATTGTTTTTTCTGCCAATCCCCTGGCTGCTGATTGGCCAGGTTGTTTATAATGACAGGTCTCCAGTCTTCCATTATTCTTTTATTTGTTTTAAAACTCAAACTGTTCCTGTCACACCAATTGTGAGGTGATGGATTTCACGGTGGTAAGAGGAGAGGTCCGTGTCCTTATACAAAAGTCTCAGAATCGGGGAATCAGCATATTTCAGGATGTGACAGTGCGAGTGAAGGTAAAAAGTAAAGGTGATGACACAGCTTCCAGTTTAGTCTCTCCCTCCAGATAGTGTTCCGTTCACTTTTACACCCTGGGTTCTATTGTTTAAAAACTAATATACCCATTTGATTTAAAAAGCTGATTCACATTTTGTTTTTAAGGCAGGTCCAAACTCAGGTCCACGGGCCAATTGCGGCCCCTTGTGTCATGTCACGTGGTCCTCTGCTTAGCTACCATTGAGATCTTAATCACAAGATTACACTTCCATCCAAGGCGCTACAATGTAACTGGGAAGAGGGTAAGCATTTGTCATTCAGCCAACTTCAGCTCAGCCTTTTATAATCTGCAACGCCGCTGGGAATGGCCTTTGTCTCTGCTAAACGTTTGAACAAAAACTAGCCTGAGAAACCAGTCTGAGAACGTTTTCAGTGCTCCTACATGTTTCTTATCGGCAAACCTGTAATTATCAGGCTGGATCTCCACTTCCTGTTCCAGCAATACATATAACACACATCTCTCAAAGCTTTTCATAATATTTGACGTCAGAGCTTAAGCACAGATCCGTTGCCAGATCCTCTACACATTTTAAATAGTAAGAAAGTTAGTAACCATTATTTATACAACCAAAATATTATTTTACTAACTCCACCACATGCATACAATTTTACCCTGTGTCTCGTAAGTCTTGTATTTAAAGTTTTTGAGTTGAAACCTGAATTTGTCATGTAAGCTAAGCAGTGGGAGGATTGTTTAATACTTGGATGGGAGACTGCTGGGGATACTCATTGCCTTAACTGTGTCCTTTGGCAAGACACCTCACCCACGCTGCTCAGTGCTTAAGAATGATTATCAGGTCTGCGTGAACGATTGGTGGTGGTCCGTGGGGTTAATTGGAACTCATTGGCAGTCCTGTTTTAATCAGTTTTGCCTCAAGGTATTGAATGAATAATGCAGTAATAAAGCTTGAGCTGTCCGGAGAGGCGATAGGTAAATGCTATTTGTT